AGGACAAGCCCTTGCCTTCTACTCCACTGCCCTGTGGAATGGAGCCGGCGGAGTAGGAAGAGTCGCTGACGTTCACCGTTACTGGGTACCCCTAACGGACCGCCCTTCCCGCCTGGAAGGGTGCAGGGACACACCGCGGCAGCCACACACTCCCTGGAGGACAGCTGTCTCTGTGCCGGTTCCCTGCAGGCACAGGAGGGAGCCCGGGGTGCCGCACAGAGGGTGACAAGCCGGTGCTCTGGAGCCGAGCACGTGCCCGGGTTGGCAGCTGCAAGAGCCTGGCCTGTGGAGGCCCTTAACATCCGAGACGCCTGTCTCCATAAAAAATAATAGCTGAGTACTGACTGTGTGCTACAAGATGGGTGTGCTAAGCTTTAGGTGCTCCACACCTATTATTTTTATTTTTAATTTACTTATACGGGGCGTTAATTTGTTTTGTTTGGTTTTTGACACAGGGTGTTACTCTGTAATTCATGTTGGTCTTGAACTAGGTATCCCAGCCTGGCCTTGAGCTCACAGAAATCCTCCTGCCTCAGCCTCTCAAGTGCTGGGATTACAGGCAGGTGCCACTACATCCAGCCACATGTGTCCTCTTACTTAGTCTTTAGCACAGCCTCATGAAGCAGGCACTATTACCATCCCCATTTGATAGGTAAGAAAACTGAGGCACAGCCAGGTATGGTGGTGCCTGTCCATCATTCCAGCACTCAGGAGGCTGAGGCAGGAGGACTGGCAAGAGTTCAGTGACAGGCTGGGCTACATATTAAGTTCAAGTCTAGCATGAGCTACATAGGAGAACTGGCCTCGACACCAAGACAAGAAGAAAGAAGGAAGGAAAGAAAGAAAGAGGAACTGGGCTGGTGAGATGGCTCAGTGGTCTAAAGCACCTACTTAGAAGAAGCTCAGCAAAGCGCAGGGACCGCGGTTCAATCCCCAGCACCACATGTCAGCCAGCCCCGGCAGCCCCCTGGTGGGCTGAGCTGGCCACACACACACACACACACACACACACACATAAATAAATAAATAAAAAAATTTAAAAAAAAAAAAAAAGAAAGAGGAAGGAGAGAAGGAGGGAAGAAGGGAGGAAGGAAAAACTGAAAGGTTAAACGAGACCCTCGGAGCCAGACCTCAAAGGCCAGCGCCCGGCCTCCAAGGCCTCTGAGCCCGCTCAGGTACCCGTATGGTGCCGGCACTCACAGAGCCTTAGGAAAATGTTAGCTGTCCTGTTCTAGCAGCCCTGCCACTTTTTCCCCAAGAGCCATCTGGCCACTTTTCTAAAACAGACTTGGACAAGCTTAGCTGCCAGCAGGTACGTGTCCCTCAGCGCCACAAGCAGGCCTCCCCGGGACCTCTGCATCCAGGGGTCACCTGGCTGAGATGGGCTCGTGGTGGGCGGCCTGCTTCCCCTCTGCTTGCCCATAAGTTCTCCAGAGTGAAAGTGTGAAGCCTTTTCTAAAGCTGCACACGGGCACTAGCTGGGGGGAGCGACGCTGGCAGGGTAGGCACTAGAAGTGGGTCCAGTTTCAAAACCCCCTTGTCTATTGTTCTGGACTCTGAATGCATGGAAATCAGGCTGCATGTGGCGGTTGCATTTCAAGCTGACCCACGGAAGTCTATCTGGCCCATTTTAAAGCTCAGTGAGGAGAAATATGCCACCAACCGAAGGGCAGGCTAGGAAGGAAGCCTGTGTAAGACGAGCAGGAAGCAGAAGAGAGGAGGAAGAAGAGAAGGGAAAGAAGAAAGTGTCTTTCCTAGTGTAGAAAAAATTGACATAGAGTGCATTCATTATGTTTTTTTGTTTTTTGGGTTTTTTTAAACAGAACCAGGGATTGAACTCAGGCCCTTGCACTTGCCTGGGAAGCACTTGTTCCACTGAGCCATCTCCCTGGCCCCTTCATTATGTTTGTAATTCATCATCCCAAAATCTATCTTAGAGCAATCAGCTTTTTTTCTTTTTGTGAGACAGGGCCTCACTGTGTAGTCCAGGCTTGCCTTGAACTCACTGTGTAGCCCATATTACCATGGAACTGACAGCAAGCCTCCTGCCTCGGCCTCCCTAGTGCTGGCATTACAGGCCTGTGCCACACACCCAGCCCTGGGCCATCAGCACTAATTATCCTGCAGTCTCTCTGGGTCACCTGAGAGTGGCGATTTGGCTAAAGATCTCTTTGCAGGTTTCAACCAGCAGTGCCCACAGTGAAGGCACAGAAAGGTTTTTCAGGGGCTGGAGGGTGCCCTCCAACCTGGCTTGCACAGGCTGAAGGCTACAGCTCTGGCTTGGGGTTTTCTGATGCGGCAGCTCCAGCCATGAAGTGACATGCTGCAAGAATAGGGAGGAGCTACAATGCTGTCTCCGATTGGTCTCATAATTCAGTCACTTCATACTCTATCCTGCCAGGCCACTTGCTATTAAGCTCTGCACGTGAGAGTGGGAAGGGAATTAAGATGCCCTTCTTGAGGGGCAGAATTGGGACAGAATTTATGAGTCCATCTGAAAATCACCATCTGGAGTTTCGCTGTCCACCCCCACCATTCCAGCACCCAGGGAGACGAATCTAAAAGCTGAGAAGCAGAAGTGTGACCCACCTCCTCGCCGAAACTCGCTGTGAAAACCCAAGACAAGCCCTGATCTCACTTGCAAATGCCCACCCCCTTTCCCTAAAGCATCATTAATGTTATCCCCAAGTTATTGCAGGCCTGCAATCTCCCAAAACAAGTGAACAGCCAAGGCTTAAATAAATGAGAACAAAGGTGTGATTTCAGGGCCCCAGGAGGATCCAAACCCTCCCACAGAATTCAGGATTCTCTGGGTTGAGACAAAGAACTGCTCTCAGCAGCAGGTATATTTATTATGTTATCAAACAAGGAGGGCTATACTGAAGAAAATGCAGGAATCTGGGAGGACTTGGGGGGTCCTTTCAAGGACTTCTCCAAGTAACTCGTATGTTAATTTAGGAGAATTGTATCACCTCCAGGAAGGCCTCCGCTGCAGGAGACGTCTGCAGCTGCAGTCTCTTTTTAGTTAACTGGGGTTGGAGCCAAATGTCCTCAGCTGTGGCCTTGTCTTGTGAGGTCCCAAATTCACAGGCCAACAACACATGCTTCAGCAGGGACCAGTGACTCACAGAGGTTCACTTACTACGAGTTAGATGCCCTGGGCCTTGGGCAGACTCAAGGAAACATGAAAACCCAGCTGGGTAATGTTCATCCTGCGGCTGTAGAAATTAAAAATACAATGAGTGAATGAATGAATCAATCAGCCCCAACAACCAACTCCCAAACTGAGCGGAATAAGATATTTAGGGCCAGGAAAGCACAGGACTGAGCTGTTTTCAGATGACTACCAGGGTGTTGGATCAGTGCAGCTCTGGCCAAGTCTTCCCTTCTCTGTTCTTTCTTTTTTTTTTTTTTTGGCTTTTAGCTCTTTGTTTTTTGGTAGTACCAGGGATCGAACTCAGGACCTTCCATTCACTGGGCAACCACTTATTCCACTAAGCTATCTCCCCATCCCCCTAATGCAGGCTCTGTGATTCAGGTTCTAACTCATTTGGCACCTCAGTCCTTTAGGGTATGGTGAGCATTCATAACTAAGGGACCAACCCGGAATCCAAGCATGGTTGGCGCTTCTGTACTTGGGACAGAAGAGTCTAAGGTGTCACCTGAGTTTTCAGAGGAAAACGCTATTTCAAGGGACCTTTTCATTGCTCTTTTTGTGACTCGCCACTTGGTAAGATTCAGACTGTTACAAAAACACAGCGCTCACCAACAGCAAATGAACAGGAGTTTGTACAGTTTCCACATAGAAGCCAGAGACTCGGCCTGGCCAACGAGCTCTCCTGCAGCGCGCTGTGATTTTTCATTCTTGAGTTCGAGGGCCATTTGGGAATGAGGTGAAAGCCAGAGAAACACTCTCAAAAAATGTTGTACCAAGTGTCAGGTCTACTGAGCCTCCGAACTCAGAAAACCTAGATGAAAAATCCTTTAGACTCTGAGGGGAAGGTTAATTTAGATTTACAGCAGAAACTAATCAGAATTTTTAATTTTATTGTTAAACAGAACCAGGGCCCTCTGCCAGACGTCCTGTGCTTGGCTTTGGCCCATGTCGACCACCTTGGCAGCAGAAGCGGGCACAGAGGACAGTGAGTAGTGTTCGCTGGAGGCCACAACCGCGGACTGGACCGCACAGCCTTGCCCCCCCATAGCCGGGACGTGGCCGGTTCCGCGCTGGGAAAGACGAGGTGCGTTTCTGAGGAGTGACCTCGCCCCAGCTCGGAGGGGGAGCTCCTGGCCCACTTAGGGCGCAGATAAGGCGGGCGGCAGCCCCATAGTGCGCACCCTAAGAGACGGCGCGACCCAAACCCCGCGGGTCCAGAGGGCCCCCCGACTCCAGGCCCGGCTGGCAGGTGGGCGGGGAGAGGGGCGGGGACGGCTCGAAGAGGCGGGATCCTGGGAGGAGCCAGGGAAAGAACCGGGACCAGACGAGAGCTCAGGCGAGGGGGCGGGGCCATGCCCGTGCCCTGCCACGCCCCCAGGTCGTCCATCCCGCCCATTGGCCGCCGCACTTCTCAAGCCCCGCCTATTATCCCCGCCCCACGTACCCGTGTGGACTCAGCCCTCAGCACCGCCCCCTGCGCACGCGCGGCCGGGCGCAGGGCGGGGAGCCGCGGCGGCCTGTCATTTGCGGCGGGCCGCGCCGGCCGAGCCCTTCAGTACTCGGGGCTCCCGCTCGCCGCTGTAGCTCCTCGCTCCTCCACTCCTCGCTTCTCTGCTCCCAGACCGAGCTGCGACCGAGCCGGAACCCGCGGCGCAAGTGACGCGCTCAGGCGCAGTCGCGCCTCACGGCCCCGCGGCGCACCGCGACCCCGCGACCCCGCGACCCCGCGCCTTGGCC